ATCATTGGCTTGAAATTCAAGAAGCTTGGTTAGCAAAGATGCCGCATCACCCAGGTTTAATCCATTTTCTNGTTTAATTCTTTGAATAGNATTTCCAAGATCTTGAGTAAGAAATACGTGATCGGGATATTTTGGTTGAAGAAGATTCCTAATTGTTGTTGCATCACATCGGCCATACACAACATAAAATTCTATTAGCTTCATAATCTCTTCGGGAAAATTTCTGTATGCAGTAGCAAACTTTACAGTTTNNACANAAATTTCATGGTTATGTTCNTTGTTAAANAACGTTANATATGCTATTGGTGAGTCTCTTTTTCGATTAATATTTACTTGCCACGTACATCCCTGCTTTTTGCTCCCCTTATTCTTTATTTTACCTAACAGTGGTCTTGAAAGTTTCTCCTCATATTTCCCCCCTAAATCACATTTAAATACTCTCTTCCTACAAGTACCGTCCAAAAAAGTTTCGTTCTTGTGTTTAACAACTGCAAAGTTTTTTTGAAGAGCAAATTGCTTAACAAAATGAACGGCAATAGACATAGAATAAAACTTCGTTCCTACTTCAAACTCAATTGGTGTATAGATTGAAGGCAAACTAANGCAATTCGCAAATTCAGAACCTACTATATTTCCAGCGAAAGGCGTACTGTCTTCATTACCACCATTATTTGTCCGAAGGACATCTTCGGTTAGACTCATTGTGATGCAATGTCCGTCGGTCTGTCTGCACCAATAATATGCATTGTTGTGATTTCACGTATTTTACAATAAAAAAGCATCTTTGGAAGTGAAACGCGTCTACACGTGAAAAAGATGCGTCACAAAGATGCATATTACACGATGTGTTATAGTAATACAAGATAATCATAATAAAAACAAAAAAAAGAATTAAAAGCCCAGTGCAGGAATCGAACCTGCATTTCTATGATAAAAAAAAAAAATATCTAGCGTTCTGCCAACTGAACTAACTGAGCAAATTTTAATGTTACTAAACGATAGGTGTTATAAACGCTTATTTTTTAAGGTTCAAAGAACGATTAAAAAATTTAAATCCCGATTTTAACAAAAATCCTTGAGGATTTTTGTTGACATAAGAAATTCTGGAATTAATTAAAATTAAAAGGCCCAGTGCAGGAATCGAACCCGCATTTCTATGATAAAAAAATAAAATATCTAGCATTCTACCAACTGAACTAACTGAGCAAATTTTAATGTTACTAAACGATAGGTGTTATATTTATATATCATTATATGATCACGTGACAGGTGAGGAATATTGATCTCACCCCGGGATGAGGAATAAATTTTCCCTTTTATAAATTATAATTAAAATTTTATTGAATTTATTAAAAATCTTTAAAATCGGGATCTGGATTATTATATTGGCCAACATTAAACATAATTCCGGCCAAATTCGAAAATAATTCAGGCCAAAACCATCTGATTAGTTTCGGAAAATTTTTTCTTTTAAAATATCTTACTACTGATACGTCCTCTTTTTGTCACTATGAATGGGCGGAGGAAGCAGCAATGGCTCTTTCCCTGTAGGTACTAATGACCTCTACCCATCCATAGAGGAGGGGCTTTTCACAAGATTAATTAAAAAAAAATTCAAGTTGAAAAAGAAAAAAAAAAATGAAAAAAGGCTCATTATATACTTTTTTTGTATCATGTGCATCACATGATACGAGCTGCAGTTTATTTTAAAAAAAAAATAATTGCGCGCCACACTTATCAATTAAGCCACAGCCGCAATTTATTAGTTTATTTAATTTTAAAAACCTTAAATCAGTTTTAATCGCCGTTTGAACTTGGTTATAGAAATTGAGAAATAGTAAGTTTCTTTGCGAAACTTACCATTTTTTTTCATTTTTTTTTTAAAGAAACATTTCTAACGTTTCTTCTTTTTTCTTTTGTAGGTCTCTCGGTTTTCAGTTCGATACTGGAATCGGAAACGGTAAGTTTCTCAAGTTTCTTTGGGAAACTTACCGTGATTTTTTGTTTTTTTTTTTTAGAAATAAACGCTTATTAACATTTCTTCTTTTTTTCTTGTAGGTTCTCCAAGCTCTTCATTCTGGAATGGGAAGGGAAAATGGTAAGTTTCTTCATGAAACTTATCATTTTTTTTTCACTTTTTTTTTTAAAGAAACGTTTCTAACGTTTCTTCTTTNCTTTNCTGTAGGTTCTCTGTGCTTTTGATTCGATATTGGAATCAGAAATGGTAAGTTTCTCAAGTTTCTTTGGGAAACTTACCATAGTTTTTTGTTTTTTTTTAGAAACGCTTATTAATGTTTCTTCTTTTTTTCTTGTAGGTTCTCCGAGCTCTTCGGTCCGGAATGGGAAGGGAAAACGGTAAGTTTCTTCGCGAAACTTATCATTTTTTTTTATTTTTTTTAAAGAAACATTTCTAACGTTTTTTCTTTCTTTTCCTGTAGGTTCTCTGTGCTATTGGTTTGATACTGGAATCGGAAACGGTAAGTTTCTCAAGTTTCTTTGAGAAACTTACCGTGTTTTTTTTTGGGTTCTTTTATTAGAAACTTTCTAACGTTTTCTTTCTTTTTCTTTGTAGGTTCTCTTTGCTTTCGGATTAGTACGTGAAATTGGAAACGGTAAGTTTCTTCACGAAACTTGCCATTTTTTTTTCTTTTTTTTTTAGAAACATTTTTTAACGGTTCTTTTTCTTTTCTTGTAGACTCTCCTTCGGTTCGGGCACTTGGAATTAGGAAACGGTAAGTTTCGTAACGAAACTTACCGTT